AACCCACAATCGCAAGGGCATAAACTTTATTACCCAAAAGTTCTCCTTTGTCCGTCAAGTCTAACTCAGTGCAGTGTAGCATCGCATAAAATTTCTTACGCATAATGATGTAGTTGTTGGGGGCTTTGTCAATCGTAGTGACGCTCACAGCTTGAGTAACCCAGTAGTAGTTGCGCCCCATATACGAACGAAGTCGTGCTCCACGCCACAGGAGGAGCGTGAGTACCAGTTGCTTGCAACTGAGGAAGCTGGAAAGGTGGATGCCTTTCTCATGAGCACATTTCAGAAAACTTTCTAAGGTAGTGCTGAAGTCTTTAAGCACATCCTGAAAGGTTCGAGTTTTGCCTAATCTGAATTTAGTACCCTTGTACATAATATCCCGGAGTCGCTTGTCAGCAGCGACTGGCAAATTGCCGGTGATGATGTGTTCCGCTGGGGGATACATGTGTGTGGAGATCCTGCGCATTTGCACTGCATGTTGAGCTATGTGCGCAGTTCCTGAGGATCTGAGTTTAACTCATCTAGGAATTTACTATGATTGACATACCGACGCCCAAGCGGGGGACTGTATTTGTAGCTTATGACAATTTTAGGAAATGACTGGTAAGGGAAAAGGCGCCTAGCAGTTGTGTCATGGAAAAGAGATTTGAGGTGGAGTTCCTCAAAATTCCCCCCCCCCCTCCCGGGATATCTTACGCAAAAATACGTGGGGTCAGATTGCTGTTGAGGGGGAGCCGTAGCGTGCAGCTGACTGAGAAGAAATCCCTGAAATGTACAGTTAGTTCGGAATGAAAGCGGATCATGTACAATTTGTTCCCTTAAGACGCTGAAGGTTTTGTGGTTGCATCTGTAGAGTCTATGAAGCAGGCCTTGAACTGCCAGAGGGGCGCTAACGTTCGCAACGAAATGCACAGTCAATTAGTTCGTGGTCAATGCACCTCTTCCTGCGTTTCTGAACACCATAACCGCGATTTTCCTCGGCAAGGAGGTTTGAAAATAGGGGTTTTTACCCAAAATGAATGGTAAGAGTGCGTCCGAAATATTCCAGAGTTCAAAATGCTCTCGTTAAGCCCAAATGGATACTCAGTATTGATTGCTCCAATCCAAAATAACTCACGTTGGTCGAGAGTGGCCTTGGAGGTGTTCACTTTCTCAATGATTTCAATACCCATAGCTTCAGATCCGTGTCTGAGCCTTTGAAAAGTATCGTATTTTTTTTTTTTAAAAACGTCAGCCCTGTGTTCTCTTGCACGCTCCTTGGCCGATATATTGCATCCGACAGATTTTACATGTGATTTTATAAACTATAGTTCTAGTTTTACACGAGAAGCGTTCA